ACCTAAATTTAACTTAAATTAATTACCTAATTCGCTTTTCGGGAAAACGGTTGATCAACACAAATTTTTTCTTATTACATTCATAGTTTAGACAGTAAAGGAAATTAAATATTTATTTACAGTTTAAAAAAAATACTTCATAATAATAAATAATAATATAGTAAAGAACTAATGTCATAAGACGTCATTTTGTCGCACGCGGACAATTTATAAAACGAGCGACGAAGGAGAGAGTTTTGTAATGGACGAGTGCGACAAAAGGTGTTATGACATGAGTTCTTTATGCTATTCTATCCATTTTGCAAAAAATCTATAAAATAAATTAATTTTATACCTTAATGTCAAAATCGATTCGCCATGCCGTCCTTAATTTACTTATTTACAATAAGCGGCTGTTAAAGAAGAAAAAAAAGGATTTTCTTTGGTTTTAAACAAAATTTATTGCCAGAAAAGTACTAGAAAAATCATAAAAATATTATAACCAAATCAAAATTTTGGGTGGGGTAAAGCAAAATAGTTAAATTAAATTTTCTGCAAATGTTGTCAAATGTTTTAATTTTTCTTATTACGTTCATAGTTTAGACAGTAAAGGGAATTAAATACTTATTTATTTAGAGTTAAAAAAAATACTTCATAATAATAAATAAAAATCATTATAAAAGTATTACTCAATTACCTATGTGAGAAATTGTTAACAAAATTCTAGGATGTAATAGAGTCTACTTAAGACAACAATTTTTTAGAAAGATTTGTTTCTTATTGTCATGATATAAGATATGCGTTTTCTCGTATGCACTTGGGTGAATATATTGAGATGTCCCCCAAGTGAAAATGATTATTTTTTATTTTTGGTTGTTTTACTGTTAGTCTAGAATGGGGTTTTTGGGTAGCCACCAGCTCTAGTAATAACATAACATAAGTGGTTCTGCACTATGCAAGAGTTTTAAGAAATTATACATTTTGAATATTAGAGCTTCACGGAAGATAACTTTACGGAGGTTAGTATTTCGTTTTTTTAACATCCCTTCGTATATTTGAAATAAGTTATTGTATATTTTGACACCTTAATATTTTTTTTAAATACAGTTGAACATACATAAAATATTTATAAAAAAATCTACTTAAGTACTGAGATATTACACTTCACGGTGGATAGGTTTTCAAATAGCAAATTAATGAACTTAAACTTTTGAATTATAAAACAGCAACACTCTCATCTGCATATAAATTCTAACTGACCTTCAGGAATCACATGCATCTATAATGTTGTAAACAGAGGTTTTTGCTTATTTAAAATGATTTGTTGCATAAAATTTAAAGCAAAAACAGATTCACGGAGGATAGAATTTTGTAACACCTACATAATTCGTTATAAAAATTATTTCTTTTAATTTTTAATAATATTTTATATTTGATTCGATTGCTTTGGATGTGTTCGGATGTGTTTAATTTAGTGCACTGATATTTTTAGTATGCTTTTACTACCTCAGATATTTGAAAACTTTAAAACATTGTAGGTAAAACAATAATTAATTGCACAATAAAATTGTAGGTCCAACTCATTTAGTTTTATAAATATAATGGGGTTGCCAATCTGTCATTTTCGTCTAGAAGATCCGGCAACACTGGATTACGAACACGTGATTATCTAGGTTTAATTTCTATGGTGACTACAATAATTTTATTTTAAAAAAACACGATTGTATTGTTATCGATTGTTATGTTCTACCTTCTAAAGGTTCTTTCTTCTATTGTTGCTTAATTTTTGGTTCCTATAACTTTTTTTAATATTTTTTTTGTAGTTGACTTCATTTGTTTTACAGAACATAAAAATTCGTTTTCACAACTCATTTTAGGATTTTAAATATCACTGTATAGAACTGTCAAAAGCGAAAAGCGTTACCATAGAAACCAACTATCAACAACTCGCAATATTGTCGCGTTTAAATTCTATTTTTAATTTTTTTTTAATGACGTTTATGTAATACAATATATAAGTATACCTATGTATGTATATAGGTAGTGCCTTTTTTATTAAAATAAAAAATAATTATAAAATCACTTGGCTGTTTTTTAAATCAAGTGTAATAAAATGACAAAGTAAATTTTGTTTTTGCAAGTTGGTATCGCTATTTGTGCATTACTTAAGTATAAAATTTGAAAATCAAATAGGTCATGTTCTCATTACGTAATTCAATAGTTTTGCAACCTTTATTTTTTTATCTGAGAAAAAATCGAAACCCAATTTAAATTTAAATCAATAGCGTTTACTTACAAAACTAATTTATTTTTTAAATTGCCATTTAATGCATTGCAAATATGCAATTTAATTGAAGGTTTTATTAAAAAAATTGCAATACACATAACCTTACTTATTTATTTATAAACAAAATTTTATGGCATAATTGATTCTAAGGTCTTAAGTTTTGATTAAAATTATATTGCAATAATAAACATTGAAAACATTTGTATGGATGTGTTAAAATATGTACCTAACCAGTTTTATTTTTTTTTCATTTTCTGGTAGTATTTTAGGCTTGTTAACCTCGATAAAATATTGTAGGTATACGGAAATTGTTTTTCTTTATTTTGTTTTCAATTCTTGGAAGTTTTAAACATTTAGGTAATCAATAACAATAATAATATAATACCTATACAATAATATTATTTTCAAAATATAAGACGAAATTATCGTTAAACTGACAGATACATAACCTTAATTATTGGACTGCATTCCATAAATGTCAAAGTGAAACTTTTTGATCTGGATAGATCTATAGATACCTAAGTATTTTATGATGTATTTTTAAAATACTATTTTTAAAAGGTATCATAAACAGGTAGGTAAATACATTTTAAACTTATATGTTTCCTATTTTTAATAAATATTAGATTATTAGGTCCTGGAATAAAAATATATACCTACCTACCTACATAATATTAGGTAGGTATGTTTATTTATAAAAGATTATATTACCTACTTTAATCATGGAATTACTAACAATACTAAAACGTAAAACATAAAAGTAAAATAAATTAACAAAATCATAAGAGTCTTATGATAAGACAAATTTTGTAAGGCAAAACCTGTATGTATAGGTATGCATATCTAGTCCTAGGTTAGGGTTGGGTCATTCACCCTTTTTAGGTATATTTTGCGTCAACGTAATATTTATCTCATTGCAAGATCTTTTTACCTATTTTTACACACAATTATCTACTTTAAGCACTATTATCATTTTAAACTTATTCATAAGGAATAAAGAAATTGCGATTTAACTCGACCCTTACATAGGTAAATCGATATTTTAAAATTTAGGCGTATTTAAACGTGGCTTTAACTTTTTATATTTATTTACTGTTAACGATGAACGTTTAATTAAAAGAAGGGAAAGTAGGTTATGAAAGAAAAGAAAATAAATTATAATGTGACATTTCCCAATTTTGACAGTTCCAAAATAACACTGGAATCTAAATTAAAATACCACTAACATTCACCAAAGTCCAAGCAGGCCTAATTAAATCGTTTTAATCGGTCAGGAACCTCTTTAAATTGACAAACTAAGAATGTTATTATTGTACGAACCTGCGTTTTTCTTTCGGGGCCTTTTTCTCGGTACCCATGGTGAAACATGTACTTCTCAGTCACTGCCAAGGAAGTGCAACAAAATCACATAAAATCTCGCAATATATCACTCACACAACTATGCACAAACAAACACAAACTTCGTAAATTATCCCACAATATTCTGAATATGACGTGAAGAATCAGACGACAAAACAAACTGCATTTTCCGACCACTGCTGGCCTATTTGTTAACTAAACGTGGCGCCAAGTTTGAAAGGGCGAATGGCCATGCTGAAGAACCGTCGAAGATTCGCAATTGTTTTTAACGCCATTATGCAACAATTGTTGTATAAAGTTTGTGTACAGTAAATAATGGATTGTTTAATTGTTTTTAGTTAAACTGGTTGTGATCTTTATCTAGGAAGATAAGAGTAATCATAATTACCACATGATTGTTTAAATAAAGGTAAGAATAGCTTTTGAATAAACGAAATTTAAAAAAATATGTAGGTACCTAGGTACCACGCGATAAAATTAAAGATTTTCATATATTATATCACGAGAACTATGAATTTAATCGGTTAAACTGGGCTCAGTAGTTTTTTGTTGAAAAATGTTGAATGCAAAATAATTTAATAAAATAACGAGACCGCGTAGCGGTCGAGGGGTTTTATTTTTAATTATTTTGCATGAAACTATTTTCCAAAAAGAAAAATCAAATAAAAAACTTACTGAGCATAGTTTGGCAGATTAAATTTATAGGTTGAGTGATATACGTCTAGATTATTTCTCGAATTAAAGGAAACTATTTGACAATTCATAAAATCTGACGAATGTGTCAAAATTTATAAATATTTTTTTAAAGAAAATTCCATTAATTTAGGGTAGGTAATAAGTAATAATTGATATTTCGTAAACTAGACAACTTATTTTTTATTGTTTTTTAAAAAATGTTTGTTAAAACTTGTAAATAACACCATAAAATCGTAAACAAAAATCCAATATGGAGGCTAAAATTTAATCGCTGTTAAATAGTTCTAGTGATTTAATCGCTTATTTAAACGAAATTTATTCGAAAATTCAAGGCTTTTGATTGGTTCATATTATAATGAGGGAAATAATCAAATTAAACCAAAATATCAAACATCAAAAAACGGTTGTTATGAAAACAAAATAATAATAATAACAAAATAAAAGGCATCTGTATCTAGCTCAAAAAACTAAACCCCACAACCAAAAGTAATACTTAGACATTTGAACACAAAATATTCTATCTGTGATTTGAATACAAATAATTAACGCTTATTTTGGCTTTTTTGTAATCAAAAGGGTACATACTTAGTGTTTTTTTTTAATGTGATTTAATGTAAATAAAAAATTAAGTATTTTTATTTAAGTGCAAGATAAGGAAACAAGTGACAAAAACATTTTTTTGCTTTTAACTAATCTTTAATGTTCTTTAAATAAGTACATTTTGACAGAACATGTAAGTAGATGTTTCATTTTAGATCTTATATTAGGTACATATTTTGTTTTTATGTAAAAAATAAACTAACAAACGAATACTTCCTAAAATGACAAAATTTTGTTTAAACAAATGTACAAAATAATGCCATTGAACAACTTTAAATTTATTTGTCATCCTTTTTACTAGCTTCAGATGTATTTGTACTTTCTGGTATTGACATTTGAGCTTGACTTTCTGCTGCAGCCATATTACTAATTTCATCATCGTCAGCTAGGTCTTTATTGTATAATGTTGGATATTTCTGCATGCAATTTTGCATATTTTTAAATAAATCATAACAATCGCTCCCTAAAAATAAAAAAACGTTTTATAATATAACATATCACCATAAAAAAATTTATAAGTAATTTTTTATTGTTCATCAGACTGGGCCAAAAAAATCAACTATTTTTTTTTTAAGTATATCGAAAATATGGTTTGGAGTGATAAAAAAAATTATTGTGAAAGTTTGAGTCCATAATATTAATATTAAGAGGTCTATCATCGCAATTTTAATTTTATTTTTCCTCGGCAAGTTTTAGGCTCAGAACTCCCAAACCATTGAGTTTAACAAAATTGACTTAAAAATAAAAAATAAATAAAAAATAAATTGGTTTTACATTTTGATCTTTTAAATTGGAATTTTGTAATTCATGTAAAAATCTGTACCCATACCAATAAATATTCTTATGGGAAATCAAATGCTTTACAAAAAAAGCCTCTTAACATTTTTGGCTAAATTCACTCAATAAAAAGTTATTCAAGGTTAAAATTTCGTTTTGACTTCAAATTTAACCTTGAATAACTTTTGATGGAGTGAATTTAGCCAAAAATGATAAAAGACTTTTTTTTGTAGAGCATTTGATTTCCCATAAGAATATTTATAGTTTTTTTTTCAGGGTACTGATTTTTACTTGAGTTACAAAATTCCAAAGTTAAAAGATCAAATTGTAAAACTATACCAATTTTTAAGGAATGATTGTAAGAAAAGGGTTCATCTGACGGGAAATTACAATCAAACCTTTTTTATAGAGCATTCAATTTTCTTCAAAAAATATTCTTAAGTCAATTTTGTTAAACTCAATGATTTGGGAGTTCTAAGACAAAAACTCGCTCAGGAAAAAAAATTCTAAAATTGCGATGATAGACCTCTTAATATTAATATTATGAACTCAAACTTTCACCATAATTTTTTTTTGTCACCCCAAACAATATTTTCGATATACTTTCCAAAAAAAAATAGTCGATTTTTTGGGCCCAGTCTACTAGATATGCCTTAAACATGTGGACAAACCTTTAGGTTCAGAGTCCGAATAATGAAAACAACTGAAAGCATTCCTAAACTCAACACCACAAGGCCCTGTTGCCATCCCGCCCAAACAAGGGCAATTCCAGTTGATATCTCCATTGGGCAAAATTAATCCGGGCTGAGATTCCGGTTCTGGTAACTTTACAGTGCTGGGCACTTTGTGGTCTTCAGAAGTGGCGAATATAACCACGTCCTTTTGATTCGGGCCCAGTTTGCGACAGTGAGACATTTTTTGTTAATGAACGTAATTTCTGCTATCACCTTGAAGTGCTAGTAGCAACGAACTAGCTTTGTGCACTCTAAAAGCGCAGTGTACTTGTTCTAATGTTTTGCTGTAGAGGGTTAAACTGTTCCGTACTTTAATGTATTCAGTCTTCGGAACTCTTAGTAATCCTCGGTTTGTTTCTATGTTGTACTTGAGTACGTCTACGTCTACACTGGCTGTCACCTCACCAAATAGGTTTTTTATTGCCTGGAGTATGTTAGATTTAAAAAACACGGGTGTTACTTCTGTATAATCCCCAGCCAATTCTCTAAAATAAAATATAGGTTAGATCCATATGAGAAATACAAAATTATTATTATTAATAAAACAAACAAAAATAAAGTAATTACTAACAAAGATACATCTAAATAGTAGTAATTGTTCATGTCCACATTACTCACAAGGGTAATTATTGATGAAAAACGTACTTTTTGAGAAAATGCCGTGGATTGTCAATTTTCACTTTTTATATCTGTCAAATTAAAGGAATCTGCTATTAGTAAACAAAATTACAGATTTCTACATTCAGTATTTACAGAAAACATCTTTATCGGTTTTTATTTTATATGACAGGAAACTGTGTGAGTTTTAAATGGAGAATTTAATTTAATTGTTTAACGATAGATGTCGATAGTTGTATTGTTTGTAGGTATTATTTATTTATTTTTGAAAACTTTATGTTTCATATTATGATCTTGTTAATTGCCAAATTCTTTTATTGCTGGGATATTTAGCAATTTGAGTTTTGGATTGTATGTAGATATTTATTCTTGAAACCTTACCCATCTGTTCAATTATTTTATAGGAGTTTACAAGCAAGTTAAAAACAACTTTTATAGCCATGTTAATATGTTAGGAACATGTTAAAGCACTAAAACAATAAATTTGTTCGAACAAACGTCCTAAACTAAGCAGGTGGCCCTTTGGAAACATGTTATATTTTTATATAAAAATCCCATTCACCATTAGACTTTAAATTAAGGATGTTTTTAGAGATGGATTTTGTTATTTTGTTATTCAAAAAACACCCGCTTTCCGCTGTCCGTAAGTTTGAATTCCAATAACTTTGTTAAAAATTATCGGATCTTATTGATTTAAAAACCAAGTGAAAGCCTAACAAGCCCTTAGTAAACTCTTTCAGAAAATTTTTGTTTAGTTATTTCAGAATAATTTTTTTAAAATTTTGAAACTTGTGAAACACACATTTTCACGTGATCAACAAATGATGTTCGGACGTACACATTACCCAGCTGAATTTATTTATTCAATCAGGAAGAAGATATCGGTTGAAACAGGTGCGGGTAACGCGAATGTAATAATTGTTTGTCCTCTAAGTTACTCAAAAAAATAATAAAAATAAGGAAAGAAAAAATACTATTTTTCATGTTTATGTTTATTTTAAGGCACTAAAGCTCATTGAGAGTAATTAATGACTATAATGTCTTATTATTTTTTAAATATGGTTTTACAAAACTTTGTCCACTGCGTTACTGAGTCCACTATGTTACCTTATGGTAACGCAATGGAATTTAGGGTAACGCAATAGAATTTTTCGACAACAAAGTGGATATTTACCGTCGCTTTTATTAAAAGTAGTTTATGATTAACCAATTTAAAATTATTTGTAATTACAACTCATGAGATTACATCCAAGGAAAAATTCCACGCAATATAAAAGTACTAAAAGGGACCTTCACCAGCTTATAGTCAAAGAAAAAGGGTGTCTACAATTTAGAAATCTAAGTTGTTATTCTGCAAGTGAGCACAAGGGATTTTGTTTATGCATTACTCTAAAATCGTATCGTATGATACCAATGTCTAGTTCGTTACTTTTTTTAGTTTTTGTTAAAAAAAATGCTTAAAATGATTTTTATACACTATCACTTGGTAATACGTGTTTATAAATTAGAGTTTAATTCACTAATACAGTGACTAAAAGAAAATATTAATGGTATCGTTTTTTTAACAAAGAATCGGAATGGTTTCTTTTAAAAAGTAACTTAACGAACATACATATTTAAAAAAAAGCATACAATTTTTAATAAAAAATAAAATAAAAAATTGGAGTTTGTGAACTAAGTACATTTTATTTCAAATTATTTTTATAACCACTTTTTTATTGAATTAAATTTTGGATTTCAAATTGGTAACACAGTGGAGATATATAAAGCTAGCTAAACACATTTTTCTGAAAAAAAAAACGTAAAAAAATTAAAAAGTGCACTGCCTTTCTTAAATGTAAGTAAACAAAACTCTAAACATTTATAAAAATCCAACCAAAAGTCAATTTAAGCAAACAAAATATTTTGATCTTCATTTTCCTGAAAGCTTGAAAATGACCCATTTGTATAGTCGATAATTAAATTAAAAAAAAAAACTTTGCCGTGAAAAGGCGAGAAAATAAAATTGTTTGTAATGTAAAACAAGTTTTTTCTCTTTGGTAGTCATTTAAGAAGTATACTTGTAATACCTAATTAATATTCAGTAATTAATTAAAGATAACAACATCAAATATTAAAAATAAATCAAGCCATAAAAGATAAGGCGAAATAAAATGAATGCACGATTCAATCGGAGATGACAGAACGGTTGAAAAAAGACGAAGACGGAATGCAGAGAGGAAGAGAGAGGGGGAAACAATAATGACCTGCCTTGTTCAAAGCTCCTTAATTATCTTTTCTTTTATCTCTCATCTTACGATAGAGCCTAGTTTTAAAATTCTTTTAATATTGTCTTGATTTTAGATTGGCACTAATTTATTTTTGAGTTTCTCTCTGCTATGGCCACGGGTTTTAATTATATAGCCCGGGGTTGAGCCGAGACTTGCTAATTTCGAATGTTAATTTATCGAAAGTACTTTATTGTGAGATAATTTATGAAATATTTTATAATGATTGTGGTTTCATTATGAAATAAAAATTATCATTCTGTTTTTTATTGTTATTTTTTTGCGGTTATCCACAACAAAGTGTGACTAATACTGTAAATAATCTCGATTATAATAATGAAGCAGTTCTATAAAACTTGATTCCATATCGGCATATTTCATCTTCATTGTTTAGGCATCCACAGCTGTTATTATACTTGTGGCATATTGATAAACATTTAATCAGACAAGTTTTGGAACAATATGTTATTATCGGTTGCACATAATGTATTTAGGAATAAATTACCGCTGTAGAGGCGATACGAGTAAATTACCTCACGCTTAGTTCTTGGTTATGGATATCTGCAAGCAGATATTTGCAAATTGGTCGCTTGTTGTTTGTTCAGGTAGGTATTCCAGATTACTGTGTTAAACCAATTAGCTATTGACATACCTAACCATTAATAAACCGATGTCCTCTTGAAATGAGCAAAATGTTTTTTGAGATATTGTCAATTTTCCATGTAGTACCTATCTATTTTCATAATTTTTGACGGTATTTTCGGATTCAGAGAACAATTTTACATAAGAATTGGCTGTTAAATTTTGTCTCGTAACTGTAGTAATTACTAGGGTGGGTTGAAAACAAAATGTTTGTTTTTTTCTTAGCATGGGGGTAGAATTTGTACCTTATAAAAAAAGAAAATTTTTCAAAAAAAAAAAAAAATAACCCAACATCTTGAGGTGGTCCACTCGTTTTTTAAATAAATATTTAATCATATGGGGTAGTTCCAACGGGAAATTCTTTTTTTTGTTCTAGAATTCTATTAATATGTAGGGTGTCCCCTTAAAAGCCAATTGGAAGTCAAAAGTTGAAAAAGTTTTTTCCCATTGTTTTTGTAATTTAAGTAAAAAATTAAAAAATGAAATGCACTTTCTATTGTTTTAGAATGAAAGTTAATTGAAAAAAAACACATTCTACAATTTTTACATGTTTTCCACGATTTTGGACCAAAAAAAGAATTTCCCGTTGGAACTACCCCATTTGATTAAATATTTATTTAAAAAACGAGTGGGCCACCTCAAGATGTTAAGTAAAAATTTTTTTTTTCTTTTGAAAAATTTTCTTTTTTTATAAGGTACAAATTCTACCCCCATGCTAAGAAAAAAACACAAACATTTTGTTTTCAACCCACCCTAGTAATCACCACTAATAACTAAATACTATAAGTATATATAAATTATTAATTAATAATTTTTGACTAATTCATTTTTAGAGAGTAAGAGTTATAAGGTGACTTATGTTTTTTTTTTCATGAGAATGATGTTCAATCATGTTAAACTTAATCCAAGTAAGATTACTATGTGTTTTTTTTCTTAAATTATCCCTGTAAATATTCAAAAACACCAAAATTTGACCAAGGTCACCAAATTATCCGCACTTACACTTTTATTAAAATCAGATTTGTAGTTTGTTAATTTTATTTTGTAAAAATTTTTTGTACAAAACTAGGATTTGTAATGATTTTAACAAAGGAAAATATTTAGTAAAGTGGGTTTAAATTACGAAATACATCAGTAAGTGTTGTAGTAGTACTGATAATTATATTCTAGCAAATTTCTTTATAATTTGATAATTTCAGAATGGTGTTTTATTTAACTGAGTGTTTGTTATTTTTGTGTTTATGTATACCTATAGGTTTGTGTTAATTTTTTTGTTTAGGAAAGCAACATTTCTTATTAACATTATGATAGAACAAAAAAGTGTCGATGGACCAAAATTAAGGGCAATTTTTTTTATTTTAAATATTTTTAAAAAATGTAAAATTCACATGATTTTTTAATATTTAACAGTTGAGTAGAAATTTGCCAAGTGACCCCATGATTTTCGACGTTGTCATGAAAATTAAAAATAAATATTAAATCATAATCTACTAAGTAGTAGAAAGTTATCACATAAAATTTTTTGAAAAAACTTTATTCGTTTCTTTACAATGTGTGATTTAAAAAAATTGTAGCATTTGATTTAAAAATTAGTTTCTTGTAAACTATTTATAAAAAATTAATGAAAATTTGTGAGAATGGTAAAAAATAAATGCAGTTAACAATAAAATTTTCAAAAACCTGCTATTATTTTTTTTGCATCTTTTTTATTCTTTTTTAATATAAAAATGGCAATTTGGCCTTGTTCTCCCTCAGAAAATTAAAAAAAATAATAGGTAAAAAAATCTCTGAAACCTAAAGATTAAGGAACCGTTTAAACATTTTTGTGATCGCCCCCTGAGTCAATGATAAATAATATTGTTCAGCGCTGCGCCACGTTAACAGGCGACTCTTTAAGAGGCAAGTTAACAGGCGCATCTTTGCATTCTATCAGGTACGGTATATTTACTAAAATATCGTTTATAATTAACATAAACATTTAAAATAACAATTGCCAATTTATTTTTATAAAACGCAGGATGAAAATAAAAAAAGAATAAAATAGATTTATTACTTTAAAAAATTGCAAAATTAACAATAGTGAACACATTAGGATTAGAAGTCATTATCAACAGTACAGTTTTTTTCACCTAATAATTTACTAAACATTTGATTTTCTTTGTGAGAAAGTTTTTTTGAAGGTTCTCCATATTGAAACGTTGGATCACCTTTTTCGTCTTGTTCAGGATCTGCAGA